AAATATCCAGTGTGTACGCAATCTTTGGAAACTGACTTACATAATTCTGGATATAATTCCTGTGTAAACAGAATAATTAATCTCTTGGATAATTTTCTGATTTGGACGACATATAATAATGAAATCCACGCTAATATATGTATGCAGGAGTAATTGCCGCGGCGATTGCATTTGTTGATTTAAAGTAAAGTTGCCTTACGAGCTTCATTACAATTAGTCCCGGATACTTTTACGTTTTTAAAGGAACCGATAGTCTCAAATGTATTGAAAGAACATTATAATCAATTATTATGTATTTCGGTTTACTTACGTAATTATTTGACGAAGGACTGGACTATAAAGCCATGCCAGATGGCTCATATTCATGAACAACACTCCGCGACCCACGACGCGGCGACTATCGCGCTGCTACTTCTCATTCCTCGTCAAATAATTACGTGAGTAAGTCGAAAAACATAATAATAATTATTAATCTAGACGAAAGTTATAATATAAAAATTTTTAAGGGGGGAAAATCATCGAATGACTGCTCCCGCCTGGGTGAGGCGGAAGGGAGTGTCAGACTCTTACTGACTAAAAACCACCCCGTTCCTTCTCCTGCACGTCGAGTCGGAGCCCCGGTTACCCGTTAGGTTCTCCGCGACATAGGAATATACTAAGAGTTTATGAACTGAATGAAATGAAAGAACTTTAAAGAAGGTATTGTTCAATCTGATACAACATTTTGCTACAGAAACTTCATAAACAATCAAAAATATTGCTTGAAGTATTGTTTTCTAGGTATGAAGCGATAAATAGTAATCAGTATAGATATCAATAAATTAATTCCTTACGCGTAAAATTACTTAGAAATTACTATTAAAGTCCCTTCTTAATCAAAACTTCACAATGACATTGGAAATTAAATTATAATTGTACAACATAAGAATAGGGTGTTCTAAAATTAAGAATAATTGTAAAAGGTATAATTTCTATAATTTTATAGTCGGTTATTGTAATGAATAGGCTTATTGTTTGTCTATTTCATTATTTCATTTTCATACCCTGTCTCATATATTTCAATATTTCACTGTTATGTTGAACACTTAATTAATTTTGGTGACTACATTTTGAATTTATTTCCTTAGTTTTCTTACAACGATATTCGAATTGATTTACTCGTAAACTTAATTGTATTGCGTGTACTTTGTTTCTAACCATATATTTTCTAATTGTATGATAATAGTTTTGCGGAATACAGGACCTTTTTCATAGCGTAATAAAAGGATCAAAGCTACACTTGTTGAACATTTTTTTTTTTCGTTTTCTTTTACGTTTTTTTTTTTACAAACTAATACCTTTTTCGCTCATTTACTTGACTATAAAATGTTAGTAATTTTTATTTTATCTAACATAAGTTTTTATACAAATAAAAAGTTAGGTAGTGAATTAATTCGAATATTACGTAAGAATAGTACAAAAACTGTATCCTAACTATTGTGGTTAACAAATTATCTTCTTACTTAGTAATTCATACAAATTTTAAGGAAATCTGTACCTCTATATTTTCTCACGTCTAAAAGTTAAAACTTTTAGGTACTAACTTAATGACCCGTAATTATAAGTATTTAACTAAAATAAATGCATTTTTTTATGGGACAAGCCGGTAAATGAGCAGATGGGTCACCTGGCGTTAAAAATTGCTGCCGACTATTGACACCTGAAACACCAAAGTCGTTACAAATGCGTTACCGGCCTTGGGAATTAGGAATTTCAGGATTGTTGGGGATTCTAGGATTGGAAGACTGGGGAAGGAGGTGGGCTGTAATTGGGCATCCGATAACCTCATTCACACGACGTACTAAATATTGCAAATTTATGATAAATTATAGACTATTTTTACACTACTCATAGCAGTTAGAATCAACTGAGTAATTTTTATGTCGTTCCAATCACTCATCTTTTAGTTAGTAAATTATCATAAGGTATACCCACTATTAATATATAGAGGTAAGCTATACCTATCTACTAATAAGGTATATATACTATTTTAATTTAAAATATCATTCTAATATAATTATTAATATGCAACGAGATCTTTATATGTTCCTAATTAAAATAACAGCACATATTTTATTATTACCAGGAAATATTTGACTTATCTATACCTACTATATAGGATACCTATATAGGATATACCATATATATACATGCTGATTAGCAGTCGCTCCATGCAATATTAACTAATGGTTTCTACCTTCTACAAAACTTACAATAATATTATTTCTATATATTATGACTTTTCTTCTTTAAATAATCATCTCATGCCTTACTAGTGATAGTGAATAAAAATTTGAATTTGAATTTGAATTTAGAATTAGATTGAAAAACATTATGTTTTAAACACGAAAAAATTGTTAAACAAAACAGAAAGACCAATGATCGACATTTTTATATCTAAGAGAGAAAAAGAAAAACGATTCAGCTATAATACGGTTTCATTGTACCATAAACAGTATAGACCTATAATATTCTACTAGATATTTGTATAAAAAGCATTTTAGAAAATAAAACTCATTGAAAAATAACAATATATAACAACAAAAATAAATAAATAAATAAATAAATTTCTGATAAAAGATGAAACAAAGCGGCTTCATAGCCGCTGGAACAAAAAATGTATAGAGTCTTCACTATTATGGTTCTAAGAAAGTTTAGGAACATTAAGCAGTAATGTGCTGCGAAGAAAAAAGTATTCAGGATATTTATAGATTATCATACTAAAAGATAGTGATTAGTTAGAGATTTTTTACATTAAAGAAAACCATTTAATCATTATAAAACGAAAATATAACTTATATTTCGTTAATATTTATGTTGGTAACTATATAAATGTGGTCCACATTTAATGTCTATTCAAAAATTGAACGTCTGTTGCCTATTTCTCTTACAATTAACATTGTTTGGTCTTTGTATCGCTAAGGTTTGGCTGGTAGACAATACCCATGGCATCAAGCCCGCCTTATGTACAGATTTCAGTATGCTTACGGCATAACAAATAAATACAGTACATATTTCCAATGCATCCATTATCCATAGTATAGTAGCGAATATTTCTTTTAGAAAAAGATAATTTATATACGACCAGTATTAACAAACATTAATTAATCGTTGTCGTATAAAAAGAGACATACTTTATATATATACGATTTCTAATAAATATAAAACGGAGATGTATAAAAAAGTTAAATATTAATTTTACTGTGATTGCTTCCATTGCAAATAAATTTAAGCTATATTACTATATATTATGTATATTATTTTTATGGTATGTAAGTAATATACTAGGAACTGATGATGACGCCAAATAGTTGATTTTGTTATTAGTCTTTCTTAAAGACTGAATTTTCGGCAAAAATTTATAGTTAAAACATACTTAGACTTATAATCCAGGTTAAGAATAAAGATATTTGATTCTAATGTCTATTATTAACAATATGTACAGCAGGAGCCGTAATAAAATAAATAATATTAAAAATAAAACTATAATAAGTTAGAAGCTTTCAAAATTAAGCGCTGTACAAGAGTGAGAGAGACCTTTCCTAAGTTAAACTCTAACTAAACTAACCTTTCTTTAAGGTAACCTCAAGTTATCAATTATTTGAACTATTCAACGTTATATTAAAGATTATTCAACTTATTTGTGTGTAAAGTTATAATAATATTATAATAATAATCTTCGCTTTTCCTTCTTGTTAATAAATAAGTAAATCTTTCAAGAGCCTAACAATTTGTTATACTTATGTTTATTATCAGGTATAGTTTTCGTCTGCTGTCCGATTTGAACTATGAAAGGTTTTTACAAGCATACAAAGTAATAACATGTTTGTTTATCATTTTAAATTAAGTATGATATAAAAGAGTTCTTTTTTAAATAGTAAAATTTAGTTGTTACAGAAATTTAACGTTAAGAGCTGATATTGCTTTAAACTTTACAGTATCTATATGTATAGTTAATATTACAATTGATCAGTTTTCTAAAAGAAAATGCTTCATTTCTTTTTATTTATCCATCATTATAATAAAGACTGTTGTAACTTTTAAGTGAAGTTGTATTTAGTATTCAAGACAATGTATTATGTTTATAATAAGTTACTCGTACATACGGAAAATGTTTAGGTGCATATATAATTATCCGCCATTATAAAATGAAAACAACATAAATTAGGCCAATATTGAGGATACACAAAGAAAATTCCGTTTCCTATTCGCAACTTTTTTCTAAAGTTTAGTGCTACGCGCGCAGTTCCGCTGTTCTTTCTGCCATCCGTAATGTAATTTTGTATCGATAAAATTACTTAAACAATGGGTAAAACCATCGCTTCATAGGCTGAGGACATTTTTTCCGATTCCTAATGTCACGCGATGTATGGAGCGGACAAAGGCTGCCTTTTAAATATTTACTGTACGTGCGATCCTCGTACCCCCGCATGTGCGACACGCACAGCGGGCGACACTAGTTGCCACCTGCGTGCATCTCTTAATTCCATCTATTTCTCTACTTACTGATTAACTATAAAAATATTAATATATCCACTGTTTCTATATTTGTGTCAGTAAACAAAAACTAAATCTAATCGAATTTCACCGCATACTCCGGTGAGACGTTACGTTATTGTCCACACTGACTCACGAACACATTTCTTATACAAAACTCATCTATGCTTACATAAATGTTGATACAGGCTACTATAAAAAACGAAATCTCAGACAATCTAATTGTACGAAGGACTAAAAACCAGTTTGGCACTAAATACACAAAGGCGGGAAAACGATTCCTGATGCAACAAGAAGGCCGATATCAACGTTCTTCAGCGCGTCACATACGTACGACACTCGAGTTTGTAAGATTTTCTTCAGGGTGCAACAGACAAGTTTTCGGGAAACTGTGGCCCGAGGGCGGCCTGTTGGAATTTTACATGAGTCAGTGGCGAGTGGGTTCTCACGTGTTTTCGACCTACCTATGTGTTACTGTAGTGTGCGCGTACAGCTGAAGTACAGGGGTGCGCTAGGGCGCGCTGGATCGTCGGCGGGCGGCGCACTAACACTCACATTCAAATATTCGTCTAACCTTGATGCGAATCGGCGCACTCCGGGTTCCATCCGACGACTGTCGTCAATACAGACGGGCTGAAGGGCTCGCTTCAGGTGTAACAGTGAAAGTGACACTGATGAGGATTAGTTGCGGATCGCGGGAAGGTGTCGCGGCGCGGGCGTCGGCGTCGGCGTGAAGCCGGGCGGCAGGCGCATCGGCGCGCCGCCACCGGCGGAGTGGTCGCGGGGCTGCGGCGCGGCGGCCGCGCTACATGTCACTGTGCGGCGAGCGCGCTCCTCGCGCCGTGGTCACCGACTCTCAGTGGCGTCGCCGTCCTACTGTCTGCCCGTCGGCCGGGACGGCGGCGCGCGTTGCACCGCCCCGCTGCACTCCGCCTGCCCCCCTGGCGCTATGCCCCCCTCGCTCGGCCCCCCTCCTCCCGTCGCACTACACCCGCCCCGCCCCGAAGAATTTTCCGCATCGGGCGGGAAAAATCGATTGTGCAGCGAGCCCCGAATAATTTCGGCAAGACGCACGGCGCCCTTGCGTCCTCTCCGGCGGCCGACGCTGCCGCCGCGACGGTCAAGCGCATCGCCTTTCACTGTGCGACGTTGCCGAGCCCGCACGCTGTCCGCCGACACTTAGCTGCAATGCTATCTCTTACTATTATGCGTTTATATAACATCACTGATATTAATAATATCATTGTTATTGTCAAGGTTAGATAAAAACATTAAGATATAAGACGGCATATTTTTATCATTTCCAAAAAGCCGATAATAAGTTACCTTAAACTAGTGCACATGCATTTAAAAACAAATTATGTTACTTTAAAATTTTGTCTAAATGAACAATAAGTACTGAAATGGGCAGTCGCATGCTATTTTCTTATTTCTAAAATCGATGATCATCTCAACTAACTTATAATGCTAATGCAATGGGTTCTTGTCTTATAATAAAACCGTTTATTTTTGGAATCAAGAACCACTAAAATGAATTCAAAACATTCAAAACCTAGTTTTTAATCAACTATTACAGTTTAGCACTTCTTACAAAACACTAAAATACTTAAAATAGATACAAAAAGTAGAACAAGTAACAGAACTATTCTTACCTGTAACAAAAGTAGGCTTTGTTCTCTATGAAGTAAGTTAACAACTCGTTTACATTTACATAAACTGAAGCTGAAAGCATAAAAAATATATTAAACTGTCAAACACCAAGCGGTCACCGGTGACCGCAACCTATTGTTCTATTATTGTGTCTACAAAACCGGTACTCGACGCGTTAATAATATTTTTTATTAATATGAGTACGAAAGTGTGTTTGTTTATATTTCTTAGGAGCACACCGGAGCGACTAATGGTATGGATTTTGTGTCTGGAGATAGTTGGAAGGCTTACACATAGGCTATCGTTTTCCTTTCACTGTGCGAGCAAAACCGCACGTACAAATTGTGAATTAAAACAACTGTATCTAACTAAAAATAACAAAAGTAAGTTAGTTATTAGGTACTATTCTTTTTAAAGTACAGGCGGATGACTTTGTTATTAATTTTATTTTTTTATTCTTAATAAAAACGTTGCCCAACACTAAGGATTTTCTCCTGTGTCGTGGGTGCATTTACAAACATACAAGTTCACATACACATGACACCTAGACCAGAAACAACAATTTTTTGATCACACTAAGTGTTGTTCCGTGCAGGAATCGAACCCGCGACACGTTGTTCGGCAGCCGGTTGCCCAGCCACCGCACTAACTGTGCAGTCAATTTTCTTGTTTTTATTTAATCTTATACTATTATACAAAGCGGAAGAGTTTGTTTGTTTGTTTGAACGCGCTAATCTCCGGAACTACAAGTCTGATTTGAATAATTCTTTTTTGTGTTGGATAACGCATTTATCGAGGATGGCTACAGGCTATAAAACATCACGCGACGACCAATAGGAGCTGATCAGAGCGTGTGAAACCGCGCGGAAGTAGCTAGTTTTATTATATATAATAAATCATAATAAAAAAATTATATGTTTGACTGGAATTAAAATCCTGGTTGCCAAAATATTTCTTTTAAGTGTAAAAAATTTTAATTTTTTCTTGTCATAAATCCATTTTTTTATCCATTCATCTTTGTGTACTTTGACTACTAAAGTTAACAAGTTCCCGCAAAAATTTTTAATTTTACAAACAATTTAATTATCTCGTAGGAATATATTAATATCTCATTCTTAGTTTCACACTTTCAAAACTGGAAGGTTAGTGCCAGTGGCTCATTGATGGGTTTCCTTGCAACAAGACGTTGACGTTCAAAAGTGCCATCCTGGTCTAATTGAAATAAATGATTTTGACTTTGACTTTGACTTTGAACATGTCAATCATGTCGAATTTGATTCGCCTCCCAAGACTACTGACTTACTATTTTGGAAGAGTCCCTTAGTCCCGTAGTGGGCTATTACGGGATGTCGAATATAATTTTGAAGTGTCCGTTCATACATTTTTATTAATACGTTAATTTATTTCAAATAAATCCAATCATTAATCCTTCGTCACTGACCTTAAACTCAAGTTAACACTATTTCAGGAAAAAATATACTTAAGAGAAATCATTTGTTTTTACTTCTATTATTACAAATTTTTATAAATCCAAAAAACTGACGACATTACGCCACAATAATAAAAAAACTGTTATTTAAAATTCTCGATTTCTTACTCAATATTTTAGTTTAATTCGTTAATTATCGCGACATCGATTGCGCCAGCGCAGCGCAGCCTGTAAAAATTGCGTCGCTGATTGGCTACGAACACCAACGACGATTGGTGAAGACAAATCTAGAAAGACTGAGTAAGCAATGTAGTCTTACTTACCTATTATAAATTATTATATTTCTTAGAAACCTTACTGATGAAGATATGTGTTTTTGCATAGTTGCTCTAGTGACGTATATGACTATGAACTATTTCTGTATCGCACAAAAAATTTTGCATTTTTTGTGTCGTTTTATTAAGTAACAACAAAATTTTCGATAAATTTTCAGTACCTATACAAAAGAGGTGCTATTGATAATTTTATTCTAGACAAAATCTCTCCAAGGCAGTTTGTGTATCTGAGTAGAAGGCAGGTTAACAATGGCTTCAATAATTTTTTTATGGTTTAATTTAGGTTGATAAAAAAGGAATCCTAACATACATATGTATAAATAACTTTATATAAGATTACATTATTTATGACATTACTAGTTTTTACCCGCGGCTTCGCTCGCGTCACAAATGGATAAAAAGTAGCCTATCTATGTGATATTTCCCAATACACACAGCGCCATCTATACCAATACTTTTATTTTCCCTCGGGAATATCAAATTTTTCCGGCATAAAAGGTACCCTATTAACTAATCCAATATTCTAACTTTACGTCTGCAAAAATTCAAAGCAATCGGTATTGTAGTTACGACGTGAAAGCGGAACAAACAAACAAACTCACTTTCAAATTTATAATATTAGTAAGGATTTTACACGACTTAGAAGGTTAATAAAAACATAGTTTTTAATTTAGAACTTTACATGTCACATTTTTTGTTTTTAAAACTTTTTTAATTATATGATACAAATTTATTCTAGCCTAGAGCACAGGACCCAACTGTAGGTACTACAAAAGAAACTTATTGAAGGTTCGTTTTCTTTTTTTTCCTCACCGCTAAGGCTTATACTGGTGGTTATTTATTTTCCAAGTGATAACGACCTTTTTAGTCAAATATCACACGTTATACAATAAACTAACGTGAATTTAATACATAGATTTATAAATATAAGTGCTTTAATAGCTAAACAAAATAAAAAAAAAACATTTTATCATTAGACGTGCTCTTTTCAAAATCTTTTGACATTAAAGACTTTTTGAAGACATTTTGAATTAGGGTAATTTTTAGCAATAAGAATATAATTTACTGTGCATTATACAGTTCTAACCTAGAAAAGTCATTTAAAATAGTACATGTATGAAGTATTATTACATTGCGTTTCAACGATTCACGTCAAAAATTTAAACGTAGTTCGTAATAAATTTTAAGGCAAGCACATTTCTAATTCTGAGAATATTACAACAGTTGTTCGGTGTTGTGTTTCGTATTTATAATACTTAAGTACCGAAGTGTTTATAAATGCTGAATTTTATTCCATTATAAGTAGGTACTCCCTAAGTACTTATGGATCTTTTAAGCGCTCTTATTGGTTAATTATCTTTTATTAATAGACACTTTTTGAGAACATAAAATGTGGTATTTGAGGGTGTTTTGGGTCATTAAGATACCTGTTTTAAACTATTTTGTGTTCGTATTACTTTCTTAATTATTATACATATTTGTAAAAAGCAATTGGACATTATAATGACTATATTCAAGCAAAATTGATATTTAAAAAGTCAGCTAATTAGTGGATTTGATTATTAATAATAGTAAAGTTAATGAAAAATGAAAATAAATAATTACATACATGTTATATTACAATTAATTAATTATTGAGTAAATAATTAATTCATTAGTTATGATAATATAATAAGCTCGGTTAAATGTTGTTAAGAAATAGTACATTTATACAAAAAACGGGATAGACAGGAGTAATTATTATGTTGTTTACCTTACCCAACCTGAGAATTCAATCGAAAACGAACCTTAGCAGTTCCTCTGTAATGTCAAAATTAAACCATTGATTTCAATTAATTCTTAATAAGGCACTTTTGAAACGTCAAAAATTTTATTGTCCATCCGTCTGTCTGGAAGAGATGAACGAGAAACTCAATCACTAGTAATATATTTTAATGTTGGTATTTTAACTATTAGTTGCCAATAGAGTCGCCTAAAACTGTGGAGTATGTTTTTATTTTAGTGCCATTTTGAAGTTTTGTAAATACTTACGTTTAATTGGTCGTTTGCTTGAAAGTACGAGCGTCGTGTAAGGTCAAAGCCTATAACATACAAAAACATTTTTCCATTGTTCTACACACCTAAACCTAAAAAATGGACTAAAACTTCTTTTTAACAATAATGGACATATTAACAATAAAAATCGATTTTGTAAACTCCCATTATTATTGTGAGAGCCTGAAATTGTCATCTATGTTTTAAAAGCATAATTAAAAGTAAACTTTAAAATTAGACACTAGTAACTATAAGAAAAGAAAAACCTCATTAGTATTATACTTTTTATTATCTACCAATTACATACTCACAACAAATGTAGGCACACAATAACTTTTTAACTTTTTTAAACTAAAATAGGTCGTATATTAAGTTTTAAAACAAAAAAAAGGAGATTACACACCTGCAACTCTGCAACTACATACATATACATAGGTACAGTAGTAGGACAGTATACATAGGTACATGTTACCAACCCCGCAATGGCTTAGTCACCGCTTTGCTTAAGGGGTTGACGATCCCTGTACATGATATTATTAGTTCACAGGTGGATGCTGCCCCCTCTAGCGAAACACCCTTAAAGACACCCATGGGAAAATGCAGGGTGATACTATTTAGATATTAGATACAACTTACACTTAGGAGCAAAAAACCGAAGCCACTAGTGAATTTGTTTCTCATATATATATTGATAAATAATCTCTGATACAAGTATTTGGTAATTGGTAACGTATTTCGTATAAAAGTCAATTTAGTTACCTTTAGACTGAAAATATTGTATAGAAAAGTTTTTTTTTTAATATGTAGGGCACGCTAAGGTGAAAAAAACGCTAGTGGTTCCGTATCTTTGCTCCCAAGTGTAGCTTGTAATATAAGTTTGTTAGTTGCATTGAATGTTATGTTGTGATTTACTTATGAAAATTTTTTTTTATGGAATATACCGGTAACCGAGCAGACAGATCATCTGATGGTAAGCAATCGGCGTCGCCCATGGACACCTGGAACAACAGAGGAGTTTCAAGTGCGTTACCGATCTTTTGGGGTTTAGGAATTTGCGGATTTTTGGGGATTGAATTAGGATGGGGCCCAATTGTGGCTACGGTAACCTCACTCACACGATGAAACACAACGTAAGCGTTGTTTTACGTCGGTTTTCTGTGAGACCGTGTTATCACTCTGGTCGAGCCAGCCCATTCGTGCCGAAGCATGGCTCTCCCTCTATTAAAATGTAACATAATATAATATGTTCCTTCCAGAAGTGTTAAGCAAACATCTACTTATAGAAATGAACAACGATCGACTTATCATTAGATATTATGTTATGAGTTCCATATGTTACAGATGGCGACACTGTTGCCATAAATTATATAGAATTCAAAACTCCGCGCTACTAAGAGGATTAACCAAAAACTGATAAAATCCCAACGTTACTTTGCCCAAACCAGGAATCAAACTTGAGATTAATACCTCGACAGTTGCACTCGCAGTCACTCATATATCGTATGTAAAAAGTTTGAATGGGGTCATTGCTCTATCTTACAAACTTTCCGTAGATTGTTCAAATTACAGACGGATCAAATATTTGTTTGTTCTATACACATTTTTCGCGAGTCTACATCATGTGTATGGGTCTGAATAACTAAGTACATATTATGTTATTTGAAAATAAAATGTACATGTACATAACCTTATACTTGTCTCCCATGGGGATAGGCAGAGACTATGGAACGCCGATTGCTACGATTCTTACATACCCCTTTCGCTTCACCAACAATAATAAGCATCACTCATCAATCTTTTAATAAAATGTTTTTTTAAATAATCTCAGCCAATAAGGCTGATATAATTTTATTCTCTTAGCGTGCACGTATTTTTCGTGTTTATATCATAGGATTTTTCATGTAGCATATCTGTCATAGCACAGATGTAAATCTCTACGTATTTAAGGCTGAAATAAGTACCCTAATAGCTATCCAAATTGATTAGATAAATGCATAAGATTAATGCAACATAGCACAACAAACTTGTAGCAGTACTTAGTTGTTAAACTTTAGTTCAAGCATCACGTTAAGCTGCTTGCAGATGTTGGCGAGCAAAACTTACATCGCCGTGCGTAGTGAGATCTACTTTGACAAATTATCACTAATACCTTATAGTGAATGCTGCGTACCTACCTGTTATTTCAGGGTATAACGTAATAGTAATCGGTTTTCTTTGTTATATGCTTTGGGTTAATTCAAGATTAAACTGGTTTTCAAAATGCTGATCATTTTGACAACCAGTTGCGTTTCATTTGCAATTCGAATAAGAAGAACATTTCCCCATACTAGGATTTTCTCCTGTGTCGTGGGTGCGTTTACAAATATACAATTTCACATACTTATCACCCAGACCTGAAACCGCAATTTGTGGATCACACAAACAGTTGTTCCGAATGTGTGGGAATCGAACCTTCTACACGTAACGCAGCAGCCAGTTGCTCAGCACCGCAACAACCGTGTGGTGCTGTGATCTAGACTTCAAACCCTGATATAGTCACACCCTAGCAAAAACACAATTGTTATCACTTCGTCGTGTGAGTGAGGTTACCGGAGGCCCAATTACCAGACATCAGATGGTCTGTAAGCTTTGTTATCACCGAGGTATATCAAAATTATAAAAAAATTAAATAGTAACAGAAAAATTCCAATGCATTACAAAATTCTTTTATAAAACATTTCATAGAAAATTGTTTGAAAGTCCTGGAAGTTTTGTCAATATTATAAAAAGTATGACAAAGGATGGTTACGTAGAACCAGTGCATACCTATTTTATTTTACTCTCTCGTAGCTCGTAGCCTGTTCTTTTGTCAAAACAACTTCCAATTCACAAAGATAGTGAAGGATATTGGTGTTTCGGTCATGTATTCGTTGGTATTTCATGTTTATTTAAGATTCATTTTATAATTAATGTACAAATAAAAAGTCAGTAAAATAATAAATTAAATCACAAATTTTTTTCAAAAAATATGTAAATCATAATTTTACTAAAACAGTATTATAGTTATTGTTTTCGCCTGAAATTTCGTCGTTTTAAGAAACGTAGCAGGATTTTGGATAGACCTATTAATTGTCAGACACTTTCAACTTCTGATGACTTGCTATGCAATACCACATACCTCTACAATCAACAATCTCTAATCAACAACAGGCAAAAGGATTTATTTCTGCTATCATCATCATCATCATCATCATCATCATCACCACCACCACCTTAATCATCACCTAATTCATCATCACCACGTTTATCATCACCAACTTCATCATCGCCACCTTCATCATCACCACGTGCATCATCACCAACTTCATCATAGCCACCTTCATTATCACCACCTTTATCATCATCATCATTACAATCATTATCATCATCACCACCATCATCACCACCTTCCTCATCAACACCATGATCATCACCACCATCACCATCGCCAACACCATCTTCATCACCACCACCTTCACCACAATCATCATCACCACCATCACCACCATCATCATTACTAAATCACCATTATCATTATCATGATCACTACCATCATCACCAACATCACCATCAACAATATCATCAACATCGTCATCAGCCTGAAAACTTTCACTGCTTTGCAGAACATTGATTCGTAGTTTAACATAGCCAACGACACGACAACAATACGATACAACATCTGGTCTGTGATTAGTCTGTGAATTAGACGTTGCAATTCCTAGTTAGAGCTTACAATAGCATCATTATAAATAGTTACATAGAAAATACAAGAAATACAATCCGAAAGTAATCAGACAGGAACCGCTATTGAATAGAAATAAAGTAAATATATTTACGTCAATTATTGCTACATAGAATCAGAGCAATGCTTACCATTTTCAAAGGACAAAAAGTTACCTCCTGCCGCGTTTAACATGGTCAGAGGGCGCCACGAACATAGTTGGCGTGCCAAGCATTCGCTATCATTAACACTGGGGTAAGTTTCTATGGAACTACATTGAAATAAAATAAACTGTATTTATGTTTGTATATTTGTTTTGCATAGAATCTGAATCTTTTGGCATGATATTATTATAATTGATGTAGCCCGTATAATTATTTTAAGAATGTAATTATTGTATTCGTTTAAACATAATTGAAAAGTTAAAGGGATGACTAAGCTTGATTCAATTTTCAGCTCAATTATTGATATATTATTTTTGTATAATATAGAGGTAATTGCAACAACCTTTTCTTAGTCCTTGCTGAAATGTTATGTAACACGTTACTCTTACTGAAAAAAAACTAAGTGTCGTTGATTTTCATGATTTAATAATTAAAAAATTATTCACTTTTAATATATTTTTTTATCAGCAACAACTATATTTTTTTCACACATACATCTTTACAAGGTCAAGGTCTTCCTATAATATACGTTAACGGTTAACTAAACAAGTTGTAAATCAAAGTATTCAACTGTAAAAACACCCATTTACAGCAAATGTAGGTACTGGTTCAGTCTAACAAAATAAGGTTCCAAACATTACAAGAAGGTTCAATATTGCATTTCACATGTATAAACTTGTAATTTCTAAATGAAATTCACTTAAAATTGTGAAATTACGTTACATCAATAAATTAAACTACGTTATGTTAGTTACAAAGAAAAACCTGTTTTTGAAAAACATGTTAATAGGAAAACAGTTTCGAAGTGAGAATTTACGATACATCTGTATAATAAAATTCAATAAAAAAAAACAAAAACAGTTATCTTTGCAGAAAAGATGATCTTAAAAACATGAAGTTTTCTATTCTAAGATTTAAAAAAAATACTAAGAAAGCGGTAGAAAACTTCTAACAATAATGATTGTTTTTGTTTGCGTACTGGCTTATTATGATAATGCAACTTACGCATTTTTTTAAACGAAGATCCAAGTAAATAACAACAAAGAAAGTACAGTAGAAACTAACGAGGCGTTTAAAAACATCTTAATAATTCTCTTTATAATAATTCTATAGAACAAGTTTAAAATTGTATCCAAGTCATTATATCTAATCTTTGTAGAAAAAATTATAAAAATCACTAGTATTTACAAGTTCTCAAAAACAGCTGCAACAATTTCGATACAACTGATTAATAAATACCCAGATGAAAAAATCAATGCAGCAATCGAGACAACCTCTTGGGATGGCAAAAAATGTTCCACGTACATAATGATACGAAAAAATCTAGAGTGTAGACACAACCTTATTTTACGAAGAAAAAACATTGTAAGCTTTGCATACAATTTTGAAACATAGAAAAAATATTGGATAGTTTGAGATATATCTTGTTATACATTTATTATCAAAAACAAGATATATTCATTCACTTTAATTGCACGTTGCTTGCTTATTACGGGAGACGGTGCTAAGGTGTCCATTTCTAAAGGCACGGTACCCACTAAGTCAGCAGAACTGCGTCAAAGGAAACGTGCACTGGATGGCATCGACCAGATAGTATTAAGTTTTATCAGATTAAACTGATTACTTTCCGGCTTTGAAAATTGAAAGCACCGAAATCTGTCTTCGATTTATTGCGTTAATAGTTTAGTCCATGATTTCCTTTAGTTTTATTTTAAACATAATATATCTTCCAAATATTTCGCTAATATGATGAAGAGTAGTTCTCCAAAATTAAAAATTACACTAAACAATTTTAACTGTAAACCAAAAGGCACTTCTTGCATTCATGTGGTTTCATCCTTGTTGGCCACCATAAAAAAACCCTTCTACAGATAACATAAATAAAAATAGAAAAACATTACTTGAACTTCTGCAAAGATTTTTTTCTAGATAAACCAGCTCAATAATTTCTCTATTTCCTATAAATACAGAGACAGATTTCTATTTTCAGATCATGTTTCAGGCGTGGTAGTACCTTGTACATGTTTATACATTTCGAAGCAGAAATTATATTTCATACACATCCCAGGACGTCCACCCACAAGGCAGATAAATGACCTGTAAAAGGTTACAGCGAGTCACCTGATCTGGAGGTTAATGGGGAAGGCCTATGTAATGTATAATTATAAATCTAATAGACTACTATAATCATTCAAAATTTTACTTTGCCAAAAACTGTAGAGCCAAAATCTTTAAAAAGTAAATTTTAATAACCCAAATTAAGATAGGTAAACCCCTTTTTAATTTGAATATTAAGTAGCTGCGCTTCATATAAAACAGATTCAATAAAAGGATAACTAAAATAATTTGTATTGCCATTTTTATTACGTACAATCACTAAAACTTCAAAATTGTGAGCAACAAATTAATTGTTAATTAATACAAAGTCCCCTAATAAATTAATCACGAGTCTACAAATTGATACAGTTATCTACAAACCGAACATAATCAATGGTCATTATTGTAGTCGGCATAAACATAATACTTTTTTGTCTAAAGTATAACCTAGGCAAATACAATTAAAGTTGGTTATTCTTATAAATCGGAGTGTGTAGGTCGCGTCTAACGTTCACGTTGCACCTTCGGCCGCCGCCCGTCGGAATGATTTTTTGCGTCGCGTCTACTTCTTACCGCTTAAAAAGCGTGTTAGGCATCGTTTTTTCTACTCGCCAGTCGCGTCGTGACCTCGGCTGACATTAAAAATGGTTATGCCTCGCGCACACTTGCTACTTTCTGCTGAAACCAACTTTATAAGATGTCTCGTCTCCATATCAGTAAGATTCAGACGTTTTGTTCCACGTCAGACGTCTGAGCCGAATGTAATGTGCACCTGTTCTAACAAACGTTTTGGCAGACGGAAAAAATAAAGGTCTTGAATCCTTTGTGTGGCCGTCTCCTTATAATCCATGTTGCTTTATGTTTTGACATTCATTATTTCAAGCGTTCACGGGTCGGTCTAGACTGGGCTTTTAGGCTTGTTCAGTGGTAACGTGTTATTTCTTTTCAGAGTTGGGATATTTTTTAGCAATTTCTCTTTTTCTCCTTCTTACTTTTTCTGTGGGTTTTTAGGAGCAGGTACTTTTATTTTTGCTCTAATGTTTTTCCAGCGGGTAGTCAGACTGTCTGCGCCCACCTTTATCTAGTTTTATTATTAGTGTTCAAATCAAGGCATGGTGCATATATATACTAGAGGTACATAATGACTGCACGGTTGGGGTGGTGGCTAGAAAACTGACTGTCGTGCAACGTGGAGGGTATTCGATTCCCGCACGAAGTGACTCATTATGTGACCTACAAATTGTTGTTTCGGGTCTGGGTGTCATGTGCATGTAAAATTGTAGGTTTGTAAATCGTTTTCTTAAAAAAATATCTTGTGCAAAAAATATTTGGTGCATTTTGTACAAATTTAGTTTTGCTTTATTTTGATTAGGAAATAAATTTATTCCGAAATACAAAGCATAATGGGTGATTCTTTGAAACACAGTTTTGACGTGTTTTTGACCGAAGAACACATCAAAAGAACTTTCGATTTGAATGATAGTTTCAGGTTTTATGTTAAGGGTAAATGTCTATCGAGGCCTGCTGTAGCTAATTAGGATTTATTAAAAAAAACTATAATTAAGTTTGCAGAAAACAGTAAAACCTAATTAGTTTGGCATGTCCCAACGACGGTTTTTATTACATTATTTAACCGTCTGTAAGCTGTGGTCGCGTTACACTAAAACTAATGAATTCCAGCGATATTTAAATATGTGTTTCTTAACCTTCAAGCGGGCGCGCGTAGTCGAATCGACCGCGGTTAATACATTTTCGTTCGTATTTTTATTTTTAGTTGCCACATGCATTTCTAATTTCTAGTAGCCTGTCACTATCTTTTTAGGAGTAACGGAATTATCATTAATCTGTATACCTCTAATTAATATGGTGCGAAATCACATTCATCTGCCTATGTCATCATTAATCTGGCTCATCAATTAATCAGCACCTTCTAAATTCTAATCTACATGATGCAATTCGATGCCTTCGATATATGATATTGCACATAAAGCACTGGGTCAAACTATAATATCAATTTAGATCTAAGTGCAAAAAAAATTTGAGCCAGATTAATGAGTCAAAAACCCTCTGTTTCAAAGAATCACCCTAATGCACCTAAATTATTCAAATTATTCATACTAAGCATAATTGCACAGTTTTAAATGTTTATACAAATAGGTTTTTATTCAAAATTATACAAAAATCAAAAATAGAGAGGTTGATTTTTAAAAATTTTACTATGTTTTCAAATCCATTTAGGTAATATTATAATATACCTGTCATAATATCTATAATTATACAATATTTTGATAAGCTTATAATATTCATATAATTTATATAAAAAAGATTAAGGAAAATAATTTACATTAAATCCTATTAACAATATTAGGTAGATTTGAAGAGGATGTCGTCAGTTTTTTTCCAATCTAAAATGATGATGTAAAAAATTTTTTTTTTACCATTTCGAACCATTTATGCCGCGATTTATTCCAAAATCACGTGACTGATCTTTATAATAGTGATATAGGTATCACTACTTTACTTAGTTAACTGCTATACTCACTATAGGTGTCGCGGAGAACCTAACGGGTAACCGGGGCTCCAGCTCGACGTGCAGGAGAAGGAACAGGGTGGTTTTTAGTCAGTAAGAGTCTGACACTACCTCCCACCTCACCCAGGCGGGAGCAGTCATTCGATGATTTTCCCCCCTTAAAAAAAATACTTACTATAGGTAGTAGATATTTTAAGAACATTTCTTTAACTAGGGCCTACATTAAACAAGGAGTCAATGACATATTGAGGAAAACTTTCCGATGCTTGTCTATAAAGAGCATAAAATCTACGTGACGAATCCGATGATTTAGCACTACGGTTTGAATTACTTCAATATGACTCACGTTACCGGTATTCAAGTTATAATTAAGATTTATTTCTAATTAAGTATAATTTTTTATATATTATATATATATTACTTATACTATAATTATATAATAAT